CACCAGACCTGGGGGCTCTGCTCCATGCCGGGCTGAGCACAGGACCAGCTCCTTGGAGCACACTCGTGGAGAATTTCACGGTAGCAGCTCCTCGGGGGAAGGTGCAAGGAGAGATTTCTTGTGAATAAATCTGTCGTTGCTTTCTCTTTTTGTTTTGCTGATAATTATTACCTTCTGGATTTCCCTGCTCTCTCTGCAGCCTTATTATTGCACCTGAGACTGCCACGGTCCCCCAGGATGGGCAGGCTCTGGGAGTTGAAGCCCCATTCCCAGCCACAACCTCGTGATCCAGGGAACTTTCTTTCACTTCCCAGCAGTGTTATCTCATTTCTCTATATAATGCTGCTGTATAAACAGCAGCTCTCAGGGGACCTGGGCCACGACAGAGAGATTTTCCCCACTGGACTTGTCAGCCAAGCAGCAGTGTCAGGTTCTCCAAGCCTTCCCAGGGAGGCAGCTCTGTGAGGAAGACTCTCCACAGACTCTCCATTCTTTGCCTCAGGAACCTGTGGAGCAGCATCCTGCAGGAAAAGGCACTAAATTCTGTTTACCTGTCCTCATCGGCCCATTTGCTAATACTGTCCCCAAAACAGTGATTTGTCCTCAGAAGAGGGCAAATCCCATGCCTCAGAAGGCAACAGCAAAAACATTTTATAACCTCAGAGAAAAAAAAAAAAAAAAACACAAAAAACACAGCTCTGGGCACGGAAGGGCTGAGAGGGAACAGGAGCTCCCGTGTCCCTGAGGAGCTCTGCTGGCTCCATCCTCAGTAAGAGCTATCTCAAACCAGGTATTTCTTCCCGGATGTCACATGGAAAGAGGCTGTCAGAGCTGTCTGAATGTGTGAACAACACTGTCAGCGGGGGAGAGAAAAGTGTTATCAGAAATAGTTGTTCTTCAAAGCTAAATAACTCCGTGATTTATAAGGAGTAGAAGATAAGAGATCACACCACACGCTGAGGGCTGCTGGAATTTTCTTTCTGAGAATGAAGCTGTTTGTTTCGGTAAAAAGCAAAAGAGGGGAGAAATGAAAACCTAAAATACTTTGACTTTCTTGACTTAGCTCTTAACAAAGCTAAAAATAACTGCACTGGCACTGAGCCCATGCAGCCATGTCCCAGGATCACTGGAGTAGTGGAGGAAGGTTCCCAGCCCATTGTCCAAGTGTTTTTCCAGCTCCATCCTGGGGCATTCCCAAGCTCTTCCAGCACCATTCCTGAGGACAGAAGAAAGCAGTGCTGTTCTGCTGGATGCAGACAGACCTGGGCCTGTTCTGATTGCCATCAATGGGATTTTAGGTGTTCTGTGGGATCCAGGTTTTACCCTGAAGAGAGGCCTAAGTTCTGCTACTCCAAGTGAAGCCCTCTGTGGTTTTCAGCCAAACTTCCCCTTGTGCCAGGCCAGGCTCCTTCTGCCTGCCCAGCCCCACTATTGCTCTTCTGGTCTAGACTCAAAGGGAGTTTCAGGCATTTTGAAAACTCCTCACCTTTGCAGCAATGTCGAGGTCATAAAATAAAATAACATAAAACAGTCAGACATGAGGTTGATTGTAATTAGTGTGTTTTCTCATACACTGGCTGACATTCTCCAGAGAGCAATTAGTCTGCTTTAAGAGTAAAAGACAACTGAATAATTATTTAACCTGCCTGGGATTGATTTTAAAATCCAAGAAGTCAGATATAATAATGGATGACTTCATCAAAAAATATGTAAAATTAGTGGTAAGGGTTGAAAGCCTTCATCAAGAGTTGATGTAAGGCATCTTCTACAAGGCTGATCCCAGTCCCAGATCCCACTGCACCAAAGGCCCCCCAAACATGGCATAAAAAGAAGGTTCCCAGGGGAAAATATCTATGCAAACAAAGTCAACCTGAAGTGATGAACTTCAGGGTGTGTTGAACAGCACGAGGTGCTGCAGAGGGGACTGCTCGGGCTCTATTGACTGGTCAAGGAGCAGCACACACAAATCAGGCAGCAAATCTTCCCACAAACCTCAGGAGGATGTCACAAAGCACGACAGACCTCGTCATGGCCATCTTTTACCTCTCTGCCAAGCCACGGGAGGGGAAGAAAGAAGGAATGAGAAGCTGAGACCCGCCCAGACAGGAAAGCAGCACAGAGCACCCAGTGATCTCCAAGACATTGGAACTGGCTTCCAAAACAGGGCACAGGTTTGGAGAGGGACAGCAACACCAAGGAAGCTTTAATTGTACTCTCTTGGGTGGGATTTGTCAGTGTGTTGTGGATAAAAGTGGAGACTGATTTGTTGTGGATTTTTCACACTCATTGACTCTCGTTTGTGAGTGAAGCCAGTGGAGGTTTCTGCCCCAGGCCCGTGTGGGATCACTTGCAGGGGAGCTGTCTACAATTGTCCAGCCCTCAGCAGCAGATTGCCCAGCCCTGTCCCTTCGTGTCCCCTGCTGAGGCTCCCGGGGGTCCCCTGGGGTCCCCCAGCCCAGCCATCACCCAGCTGATGTCACCTCCCTCGTGCTCTCAATGCCACGAGCTCAGCGTCCCCATTTGGCTCAAATGGAAGAACTTCAACAATTATTTTCATAATTAGCTGGCTTTGCAAATTAATGCCAGTTATGCTGTGTAATCATGATGAAGATTATGCATTAATCAGCTGTTTCAAGCCAGTTATTAGGCTCTTTAAATAATGATGGGAATGAACATCTCTGAAGGAGCGGCGGAGAGCCAAGAGGGATGTGAGGATCCAACGGGATGTGCTGTGAATCCTGCACAGGTCTGACATCAGGTGCTCCCAGTCTCCCCAGTTTCTAAGCAAAGACCAGGCTGGGGCGTGTGGTGGCTCCTCAGCGACTGTGGGAGATTCCCAATGTCCCAGAGTATTCCTGGTGTGCTCCCAGCAATGGGAAATACATGGAATCACATCCCTGCTGCCTGCCAGCTCTCTCATTGCCTGACCCTGAACTCGAGGTGGCTGCACTGAAAATTCTTTCCAGTCAAAAAACCTATGATATCCAGTTGGATGTGTTGAATGGGAATTTATTTAGGATCAAACACCAATAATCCACATATCCAGCCCTTCTATATTCTCTTATATCAAGACATGCTCCAAGGCAACCCTGAAAGTGCTGGTCTTGGAGAAAGCCTAATGCCAGCTAGGACAAACAATGTAACATTAACCAATGACCACTGCAGGACCATGCTAGAAAACAAAAAAATCCCTGGCTAAACAGTCTGGACAGTGAAGATTTGAACAGAAAGATGGGGTGAATCTCACACTCACTTTAGTTTTGTTTATTGTGCCTGATGTGATATTGTAGATGAACTTTCTTCTGCCCTAAGAAACTTATATTGAGCTGCCAGCATATGCAAACTTTGATGTGGATGAATAATTTTCTTTGCACCAGTCAAAACGCAAATGTTTTGGCATAATCCAGTGAGAATGAGGCATGTGGACAATTCTGCTACATTCCTGACTACGCTGCTCAGCATTCTGGATTGCAAACCTGCCCGTGAGTGACTGGCTGAAAATCACGTGAGACTGAAACTATGCTCCAGAATGAGCATTCAGCCTCTTTTTTCTTTATTCTTCTGCCTATTACCAAAATTAGCAATGAGTTCAATGTTCTTTTTCTAGCAGAGACATGCAGGGAACAGCTCAAACTTTTTTCATGTCTGTGAATGTAAATTAATTCCCACACTCACTTCACAACTGGGGACATGGATGCACAAAGACTGCAGAGGAAGAGGAGGAAAGGGACTTGTCACAATCAAGGGGAGAAAAAAGTCAGAGGCCTTTTGAAAATCCTTCTGCTTGCTTGCTGAGAACATCTCCAACCATCACTCCTGTGCTTCACCCAGGCCATGGCTCTGGTCACATTCCCAGGAGGACACAGAGCATGGCCATCAGCCAAGTTGTCAGCTTGGCTCTGGCCAAACTGGAACTCCTGGCTAACACCAAACTGCCACAAAATTATAGAAAATGTGCTCTGGCTGCTGGAGAATTCATGGCATTGCCTGAAAGCCAGGAGGGCTGCGCAGACATCTGTTGTCTACAACAAAATATTTGAGGACTATCTTAAATTGAAGAGGAAGATTTTCCTTCTGCTAATGAACCCCGAGACCATCTGTTACCAATTGTACTTGCTTATTTCGCTCATCCATTAATTATTTTGGTTTTCTTTTGAATAAGATAGAGCAAGGTTTGTGTCTTTCTGTGGTTCTGTGAGGGGTGCAGGGTGGCTCCTGCATCTCGGGGACAAGGACACATGAATGATTACATAAGCCATGCCTGCTCCAAGTCACTCCAATTAGAGTGGCTGTCAGTGGGAACTGAGGACAAGACTCACAGACACGGAGCCAAGGAACGCAGGGATGCTGTGACATGAGCTTGTTGCCCTTGGGGAGGTGTAATGGCATTAACAACTTTTGAACACAGGAAAGCTTCATCCGACATGTGCATTACTGAGCAGAGGAGCTGTAGGGTAGGCAAATCCAGAAGTCTCTGCTGGTCTGAATTAAAAACTTGGAGAACTAAACATGAGGAACAATAAAAAAGGAGAAGGGTACTGAAAATGGCACTGGAAATTGCCAGCAGCAGCACTGCCCTGCCTGTCTGCCATGTGAGGACCAGAAGGGGGTGATGAGGCAGGAGGATTTCAAGAGGAGGGCAGTGCCAGTTTTGTACCCAGTAACTCCTCAGAGCACAGACCTGCAGATGGGCAATAAGCCTGTCCACTTCCCTTGGTCTGGTCCTAAAGTTTTATGGGGAGCCATTTATCTGGCTCGTAAAAATATGCCAAGACTCTAAACCACCTCTTATTGCCCCACAAAGCTGCCACCCTGAACATTCTCATAGACCAGGGTATAAGAAAAACCCAAGTCTTCATGTCTTCATTTCAGTGCAGGACAGGTCCTCAAGCAAGCCCTGCTCCATCTGCAAACATTCCAGGAGTTTTCTCATCCTTGCTGCGTAAGTTTGTGAAAAAAAAAAAAACGTGGCTCAAAGGTGGAATTTTTTTGTCTTGCAGGAGGAATTTTTGAGTATGCAGATGGCCCCAACACGCAGGTGATGAGTGCCGAGGAACAAGCCTTCCGATTCTCTGCCAACATCATTAACAGGAACAGAACTTTGCTGCCCAACACAACCCTAACCTATGACATCCAGAGGATACACTTCCACGACAGCTTTGAAGCAACTAAGAAAGGTAAGAGCAGAGCAAACTTCTGAGCAGCTTTGTGGACATTTATTCAGTGTAAGAAAGGTCTGGTTTCAAGACCAGCAGCTTGTTCTGTCCTGCTCTCACCAGTGATCTGGATGAGAACTCCTGCTGGAGCTGACCTTCCTGAGGCATTTTAATACAAGGGGAACAACTACCTTTTTTTCCCTCTGAAAACCTCACAAAAGTCCTTTCAGCGTTTGCTCTAATCCTGAGCTAAGGTCTGGAGGCCATGCCTGTGTTTGTGTCACTGCATCCCTGGCAGTGTTCACATCCCTCACATGGATGTTCTGTTCTCTTAATAACAGTCACTTTTGATTACTGGATAACAGCAGCACACTTGAATTGCTGAAGGGGAGGGACTGCACAGCAAAGGCTGCGAGCTGGTGACCTGTGGGCTCGTGGAGTTTGATTCTGGTTGGGGACAAAGGAAACCTGCTGATTGAGCTGGCAGCTATTGGAGGGACATCACCAGGAGGGAGATAAGTGCTCCCAGCCAGCCCAGTGACCCCCTGTCCCTTTTCAGGTGGTTTTGTGGTGGAGACTCCCTCAGAGGAGCTGGGGACTTCTCTGTGCCTCTACCCACCAGTGCAGACCCACCTCATCCTCTCTCTGTGCCTCATCACTGCTGTAATTACCCAATATCAGTGCTGGGTCTGGGCTGCCCCTTGCTTAGCCCCCCCAGGCTTTGCTGACATCCCTCCCTTCCCCCTCCAGCCTGTGACCAGCTCGCTCTGGGGGTCGTTGCAATATTTGGACCTTCCCAAGGCTCCTGTACCAACGCTGTCCAGTCCATCTGCAACGCCCTGGAGGTTCCCCACATCCAGCTCCGATGGAAGCATCATCCTTTGGATAACAAGGACACTTTCTATGTCAACCTGTATCCTGACTATGCTTCCCTGAGCCACGCCATCCTGGACCTTGTGCAGTATCTGAAATGGAGGTCAGCCACAGTGGTGTACGACGACAGCACAGGTGGGTAAAGGAGGGGCTCAGGGAAGGAATCCTGCAGATTTTCTGTCCTGGGTTTCTTTGGGAATTTTTCCAGTGAACCCTCCCGAGAGCCAAATGATGCCCTGTGCAGGGAGGGGTTCCCAGGAGTTCTGGACAGCACTGTGGGCAGCCCTGGGAGCTTTCTAAGCATTTCGTTCACAAAGCTCTCAGCAAGTGGGGCAGTGAGCTGGCAAAGGGTCATGGGGGGTTCATTGACATGGGGTGAATGTCTCAGCCTGGTTCTTTTGGCACTCTGCAACAGAAAAGCCCCTGTCCACAGCTGCCATGGAGGGAGCAGCTCCCAGCTAAAACCAAAAGCAGTTCTGGAAAGTTTTTTGTTTTCTGGATAATTCTTTAACACAGAGCTGGCAAAGTTCTTCATGTAAGGAAAGCTGTTGATGGTTAAACAAAGCAAAGCGCTACACAGCTCTAGATACAGACACCCCAAAAAACAAAAGCCACATTGGATAGCCTGTCCAACCTAATTTCACTAAACCAAATGGTTTCTTTAGGGGAGGGCTGATGAGAACACAGTTTGACATTCCTGTTTTGCAAATGTGGGTCACAGTATGTTCCCTTCGTGGCATATTCTAATGTGTTTCTTCTATGCAAAGGGACACACTTCTCTCTCGCCCCTTGCAATAGGCATCTGCTGAAATTCTCCTTGCAACACCAGATTCCAATAATTCCTGCTCAGCTGCATCCACCATGGCTCTTTGCCTTGTGCAGGAAACAGAAATGAGTTCTGAGGGTAGCAGGAAGTTACGAGTTGTGATTAAGTAACTGTTACGATCTACACGACTCATAAATCCGAGCACATATTCATTTTTGCCTTTTGCTGCTGTGCGTGGTAAATATGCAGATTTTAATTTGTTGTGTAGCTGATTATCACATCCTGTCCTTTCTCAAGGGCACATCTGCTTAAGAAAAATGTTTGTGATCCCAGAGGTGTCTGAGGTTAGGACCAACCTGCTGTTCTCCCTTTCCTACCCAGTTCAGGGACCCCATCCAGCTCTACTGCCTGCAGTGGTGGCAGAGAACCACCAGGAAAAGCCATTCTGTCCATTCTGTTGACATGGGACACCTTGGTTTTGATACCCTTTAGCAATGGCCATTTGTGGGATGGATGGATGGATGGAGGGATGGATGATGGATGGATGGATGGGGGATGGATGATGGATGGATGGATGGATGGATGGATGGATGGATGGATGGATG